TGCATATATACTGTATATATATATATATATATATATATTAAATAATAAGAACAGAATGTTGATATTTTCAATAATTTTTATATTAAATTTTTATATTAAATACATTTTTAATATTACAGTCCTTGCTGTAATATTAAAACAGCCTTGCTGAATGCATGAGAGAGGATGAGGGCAACACACAACAAGGGAGCAAAGGCCTTTTATCCTCAGCCAAGATTTCTAACCATAAATCAAGATTTGACTTGATGTTAAAGTCCACTTTGAAATGTTATTGTAAACTAAACACAAAGGTTTGCATTCGGAAATGCATTAAATAAATACATCTTAACTGAAGCTTAAATTTGTTAACAATTGCAGACTGACAGCTTCAGTTTAGCCATCATTACCATTTCCATTCAATCCTTTATAAACAATAGGGATTTTTTCTAACTTCCTTTTAAACTATTAATACAAACATATGAGGCAGAAGAGCTATATTACAGGAAAACATCTGAATAGCCAGAAATACAACAAAGATGAAGTAAGCAGATGGTCCTTTCTCACTCACAGTCATTATTCAGACCGTAAAGCTGTGCATCACTTTCAGCCCACCCCTGCTCACATCTCCCCTGCTTTCTTCTTTAGCACTGACAGGATACAGTTTACATGTTTGTGGGACTTTTGTAGCCTGATGAAAAGATCCAGAAGGCGTTAACAAGCATCTCTGACTGAATGCGTGTGATACAAGCAGAGGTCTGACACCCATCTCTGCTTTGCTCGTATAGAGGGGATGTACTGACAGGAACAGAGGCTACATTGTGGGCCCAGATCAGTAAGCAGCTTAGCGGTGTTCACAGAGGAGGGAGGAGACCCACTCCTGCCAACAAAGACGGCACAGAGGAGCCGCCACATCAAAAAGAGGAGAAAAGAAAAATCCCTCAGTGTATCGAAGTAAAAAAGAGGCCCTTTCAAAACACTCCTCCATCTGCATTGATAAATTACCTACATGTTGAAATGCACAGTGCACACAACATTCTCTTTCCAGCCTTCCTGCACTGATTGTTGTGTTATCACTTTCTAGAGATTTAAGAACCTTCCTTTTAAAGTCTCAGCCACTTGCAGTTCACACATGAACTAATGCCTATTGAACGGAGACTTAGCATAAAGAAACAGGTGCAGCTTGACTCCATACAGCCACAACAAATCACGCAGACAAGGACCACACAGGGGAGGGGAGGCTATCGGCAGAGAGGGGGGAAAAGTGGCACTAACTAGATCCATTAAATCAATTCCTTTCAAAAGCTTTCTTGCCCATGTTAAGGCATTAAAACACCACTGAGTCAACGGTTTCCTGCTTTGGCCATCATCGAGCGGCGGGAAATCTCCAAACCTGGAGCAATATGAAAGGGAAGTATAATCCAGATTTGTTCTCAAAGCAGATCAACAGCTAAATGACGTCACCAAAGCAATTTGGTAACAAACAAACAAAAGCTGAACTTGAAAATTGAAGTTTACACCCCAACGCTCATATGCAACATTTGTTTCCGGGTGACAGAGCCAATTTGTTTTGCAATTTGAGAATGAATTAAAGTGTTTTCTCTGTTGGTCTGTACTGGTACTTGCCAAACACCTGCTCCTGATAAGCCATGGCTGAAAAGAGAGCTTTTTATCTAATAAGAGTGAAGGACTAGAAGAAGTATAAATCGTCCAAAAAAGCAATCTACAGCTTCAGCAAAGAATAATGTAAATTATTTGCAAAATAATGTGTTATTTGTGATACAGTGATACATTAAAACCTTTCGAAAGAAAACCTTGTGTAGACATTCCTCCCACAGTCCAGCTGGTTGCTGAGAGAAGATTGCCTCTCCTGCCTGACTGGTACCTGTAAATATCTTCTTCCCAGTGCATTATATTAGACAAGGAACCACAAAAAGCTTGTGTAGTAACAAAGAACCCTTAGTAAGAGAAGTCACTAGGCAACAAATTGAAATGTAATCATAAACTGCTACAAATTTAAAGGCAAACAGAACATGACCTGTCTAACAAACCAAGCATAGTCTTTACTGCTGACGTAACTGATTCACTTAATTTTACTAAAACTAGTGATGTGCTCCTATGCCTGCTCTTTAGCTTTAAAAGTCAATGATTTATCAGCAAGCACATTTCATTACACCAAATACGCAAAATAATGTTCTTTTTAGCAGCATCATATGACCCCTTTAAAGCAATGCTACTTTACAAATGCAAAGCCCTAACCTATGAACTCACCCCCAGTCCGCTAAAAAAGAAAACTTGGGGTCTTCTTTAAGGTCAGAACATTCATTCATCAAGTGAGGGAAAGCAATTATAAAATGGGATCCGTAAAGGGGACTTAACAGTGAGTTGAAAATCTTCAAACAGAATATTTTATTTGGAATCTATTGAAAATGTTAGTTGTAAAAATTACTACAAGTTAGAGTTAATATTATAAGTAATATAGTTACATCAAACCATGACTGTACTGTAGAGAGGCATGATATTTTGGCACAATATCGGGTTTTGGTAGATTTTTAAATTGATCAGTTTCTGTTGATATTGGATATTAAATTGTGAATGGTCATTTCCTGTTTTTGTAGATGACCTTTACCGTCATCCAATGCTCATTTGAAGTCTTTAAAAAAAATTGATTAACACTGTTAAATAATCTTTCATGAATATCCAGATTATACATCAAAATATCAATTGTCATACAGCACATTATAACATTGTAATGCTTGAATTTACTTGTAACATTTAAAATTATTTATTTTAGTTTTCACAGAGTAATACTAGTTAATGTTATTAGCTTGAATAGATTTTAAATGTCAGTGTTTGAGGCTTGATGTCTGTCAGTGTAACAGTAGAGTATCAACAGTAATGTTATAATGCTGTATCTTCCTCACCTGCCCTGCCTGGCTGCTTTCTCTCTCAGTGTGAGCAGCAACAACTGAATCTCTGCTTTTAGCAACTCTTTAACAGCTGGGGGGTCAGCCAGAGGGAACATGGGGGCTTCTGGCCTGTTGCCCTCCTCTGAGCAATGGAGCTCCTGCCAAATCTTCTCCCACGTATCCACCTAGAACAGGTCAGCAGAGGAAAGTGTTACAGGAGAATGCTGTTTGGCTCAGCTTTGTATGAAAGGCACTTTCCAAATCCCTGTTACAAGCTGCTCTACAACTAGAGAAATGCAGCCAGTTGGTTAACATCCCATCACAAGTGTCTCTAATCTCTGCTGAGTTGAAGAGAAATGTGCGTAAGAAGCTGGAAATTTCAGGGAAAATCCATGTCTTATTCTCACAAACGCCCCACACGAGGTGAAAAGCCAGAGAGGGAAATGAAAGCCTGTCACGGCACTGGCAAACAATATCTGCACTCTATTACCAATCTCCACACCTGTCTTGAGACTTTCAAGTTTCCCTCGGACTCTGAAAATACACTTCAAAGCTTGTCGAAGGCAATGCAAGAGAGAGTAAAACCAGCTCCCTGAGAATTCTGATCCTGCTGTGCCTACATGAAACCAACTTTAAGCCTAAATAACACAGGCCAGCATCTTCTTATTTCCACTGCAGCTTCTGCAGAACCAGGTTTGATGTGCCCAGCCACCAGAGAGCCATTTCTGTGAGGATGCAGGATTAAAAATGTAAATGAGCTAATGCAAACTTTGATTCAAGAACATTTTTCTTTTCTTGTTTATTTACTTTCATCTTTTTACTGAAGAAATGTTCTCAGGGATAAGCTCAGGGAGAGACAGGGAGGGAGGAAAACAGACAGAAATACAAGATTCTTAGGCGTGTTCCTTGTTTTGCGTCGTATTAGTTGTAAACTTCACTGGCATTCAAAAGAGGTTGCACTGAGAAAAATGTAAAAACTGTTTACTGCCAGACTTACTGACAAGGTACGAACCCCTGGTACCCTTGGTTGCATTTGCTCAGACAATTCATTCTCATGATCACTATTATTATTTGCATTGATTTTTTTAGTCATAAAATTCCCTTGAATGCATATTCAAGGCATATAGTATGCCTTGCTATGTCAAAAAAATCTCAGAAATCCTTATCTGGTGTGTCCATGAACAGCAGAGGGGGTTTTAAACAGAAGGTCATAAATCCTATTTAGAGTTCAAAGGTGGAATCACACACGTCTTCCATAGACAAGTTTCCACCCACTATTTCCATATGTACATTGCTGTCTGCATATAGTGATAGCCTATGCAGTTTGTAAAAGAAAATGTATCTTTGAAAGAGTCGTATCTGAAACAAGTAAGGTTTGCATTCCATGCACTTAGGCTCTGCGAGATAATGCACTCTTGGGAGCTGTAATTCAAAACCGGTTTAGAGTTACACATCGGTGCATACTAGCTTACTTGTTCATGAAGACTTTCTAATTCAGTGCATAAAATTACAAAACATAAATGCGTATGTGAATGCAGAAAAATTGTATGGGCCTAACATTATCTAAACATTAAGCAAAGGTTTCAAAAGTCTTTCAAACACAAATGTTTAAAAGAAGTATATTTTATTAGGCTGTCCTTCCCCCCTACCACACCTAATCTAACTTAAATAAATAAATAAAAATATGTAGCCACCACCTCAAGGGATGTTTCCACTTGCCTTTCAAAAGGAAAATATAAGTACTGTATTAAACATCAAATGACATGAATTATGTGATTTGCCAAATGAGCAAAATGATTTGCAAAATGTGATTTTATGATTTGCCAAATGTTTGTTTCAATTCCAACATCCAGATGTATGCTGATGACAGTAGTTTTTGTACATGCTAATAGTGCAGCTCAAGCTGCTGATCAGCTAACAAGTTCAATGTTAAAGATCACGGAATGGCTAAAACATAATTGCTTACAACTAAATGTATCGAAAACTGCATGTATGTTTTTCAGTAAAACTAAAAGTTGCCGTGCAGAGTCAGATGTAGTCATAGATGGGGAGAGACTACAAGTTGTCTCAGATTTTAAATATCTGGGTGTATATATTGATAGCAGTCTTACTTTTAAAATGCACATCAAGAAGGTTTGCAATCACATTAAGTTCAACTTGGCAAATTTTAGATATGCCCGTAGCTGCATGTCAAATAAGGCTGCGAAGATGCTTATGCATTCAATGATCTTCTAAGTTTCACTTAAAGAATTGGTTAATTGAGAGTCAGCATTTTAAACATTTTATAAACTAAACTCTGCTGCTGTCTTGTCTTTTCTGCTCTACTAGTTTGAGATTTTCATGCTAGGTATATGAGGTTGTTTGGTTTAGTACTGATTGAATGATTAGGGCTACTGTTACTTGTCTGTATGCTAACATTATCTTTGTCTGTATATTGATATTATGATATTATTGATACATTGTCATTTTGTTTGACAGTTGGATTGTGTGTTTATGAGTGAGCTGGTATTGATTTGTTGGTTCTGTGTATAGTACAACTTTTAAGCGGATGTTTTTTTTAGGAATAGTGTGAATGTTACATGTATTTTGGAGTATGTAAGTATTATGTATTGATTCACTCTTTATATTTTTTTTAGGGTGACAATTTTACCATCAGTCCAGGGACTGCAGATGCAAAATAGCCTTCTGGCTAATTCTGGCACATTGTACATTTATGTATTATTGATGTGCATTGTCCTATATATTGTATTGCATTGTGTATATATAATATATATATATAAAACATTTGTTTATTTATTTTTATGCCTATCATATACGTACTAAAGTACTTCTGTTGTGTCTTGCTAGACAGTCTGATGCATAAATATGATTTACCTCTGAATATAACTCTGTGTACGAATCAATCAGTGCTTCTCCAAGTACAGCTCGGATCTCAGGAAGCTCAGTGCAGGGAACATTCTCCTTCACTACATTCCACACAGATTGTTGGCGTTGTAAATTGTCCATGAGGCAGCTATTTCCTGAGCTGAGCACAAAAAGCTCATCACAGGCGTGCATTCGGTGTCATATATAAATAAATATAGTCCTACATACATTTAAAAAAATCCATACAGCATTCAAATGCTCCGATACACCGTACGAAGGGAAAGAGCATAATAAATAAACATAATTCGTAAACAATTATGACCTGATTAATGCAATAAAACTTTCAACTAATATTTGGTTGCTTTAAACGTTTAGGATAATGAAACAATGGTGATCTGAGTAAGATTTAAAATGGCATACATTTGTGCAAGCATATACAATAGTTTTACAACAAGCACATTCACCACGGGTACACACTCACCAGAATAATCGTAGCTTCCTGTATCAGGGTAAACATTCCTGTTCCTATGGAGACAAGCTCGCGCACTCAAATGATTGGCTGCAGGACTCGTGATACTGATCGTTATTAACCCATTCAGACCCACTACATTACACATGTACATCACTTTTTGTTTTCTTTTCAGTGATTGAATTCTATTAACATGCAATATTTGTTGGAGCTTTAAGTCTTAATATACGAGGATTGTGCAATAACTTAAAAAAAAGTGTTTCATAATATATGGAAGTTTTCTTGAAATACGAACAAATTCACAAGTATAATTATACAGATGTTCAAAACACGTGTCCATTGCGATTGACAGGACTATTAAAAATACTATTCTTTTTTCTTTCTTTTATTATTTATCACCATTAAAGAAATAAAGCATATAAGCCTATTTGGTGTTTCTGGAACACGGTGGTCTGAATGTCTGAATTTCCCCAGTCTAATAGCAAAAAGATGGGGAAAAAATTAGCAGTGTTAAATGGCATAATATTATGGTTTTATAATTTTTTTCTCAATAGACACACAAAGCTGCAATGAAAACGAATACCTCATAAACTACACCCTATCAATATTCTGGAATTCGGTTGTCACGTGTGAATTGAAACATAACCCACGAGGCGTCAAACTTTCTTATGCGCAACAGCCTCCAAAGCGCGCACAGTCCATTCTGACCATGAAGCGAATTTTAAACTTTATGTACTTTAGTTAAACAGACGCGTGCAATAGCAAGTTTTTGAAAATAACAGTAGGCTAATTCCTATTTATGCTGCATTTGCAAGTCTTGGTTTGGGACTGAGAAGTTTTTGGTGATGGGCATGGCTGTACTCTGGGGCTTCCCGGTGAATTTTCTTCATGTCTGGCTTACCCTGGTGATCTGCGGCCAGTGTGCTTTGGCTTTTTCGGTCGCTGGACAACAGGAGACAACATGTGAGGCGAACGGCAGTGTTTATTATGAGGGCGAATGGTATTTTTTAGACTCAGATCATTGCACCCAGTGCGAATGTACAGCAGAAGGGTCTGCTTGCGCGCGGACTGAGTGCACATCCCTGCCTGCCGCCTGCATCCATGTCAGCCATTACCCGACAGACTGCTGCCCGAGATGCGAGAAGATCGGCTGCGAGTACGTGGGAGAAGTCTACGAACTGGGCCAACAATTTCAGGTAAAGTTTCTGTAAAGAGTCTACAAGGGCCACCAAAAGAGAGAAAAATATTTTTTACATTTCTAAGTGGGCTTTATGTCCTCTTGCTTTATATATGACTTTTAAATTGCTCTCCTAAATAATTTAACTTAACTTTCTGCCGCATTGCTTGCAGTTAAACACCTGTAATAAATTAACGTTGATGTGAAATGTAACATAACAGTGACAAAATAAAACTACTTATTCTGGAAATAGCTTAATGCTTTTTATGATTTGAAGATACATCGTAATTTATTGTCTTGTATTAATCTATAAGGTTTCAGTTGTGTAATGTTTTCCCTAGGCGGAGACATTGTTTCAAGTTTTTGGTATTGGTCCCAAAAGGACAGTAAAAAATATTTAGCGCCATCACGTGGTTAATGATCATAATGATCAATTAATTACGTCTCAATTTGTGATGCAGATTTTCTGACTTCGAGTGAGACTTTTTGGGCAGGTTACATCTTAACGCCAGTAGGTGGCAACACGTGATTGTGTAATGAGTGAGAGTGTCATTAAATAGTTCACTGAACCGATTCGTTAAAACACTGAATCAACCAAAACAGGCCTTTTTATATTTTAATTAAATGAATCTTCATAAACAAGGATCTGCTGAGTAAATCTGCATGCAAATTTGGAGTCTCGCCGACTCTCGTTCACTTTCAAAACAGCACATAGTTCAGTAGGTACAGTTCTGTCACGCAATTTAAAAGAGAGAATGATTTGTTCATGAAAAAGATTCAAAATAGCACTGCAGTGATCTTTGTTCATAGGAAGCTTCTATTGAGGTCTAAGTACACTGAGTAATTTTCAACAGCAAAACTAATCTTTTCTTGTCAAGTTGTTGACTATTTGTTACTTGCAATCCACATGACAATTGGGTGACAATTAATTCAAACGATACAAACATACTATAAACAAAAACTTTACCATGGTAAGCAAATAAATAGATAGGCTACATAAAGACTAAGATTCCAATTATAGGTTGAATGTACCTTTTTTAAGTCGGAACAAAAGCAGCTCTTTACTTCTGAAACACAATTGTTTAATTTGATCCAATTCCTTCCATACCCTTTCATGAACGCATTTATTCATTGTCTTAGTTAAAGCTAATAAAGTAGGATTCTTTTGTTCTGAGGCAAGGTGAAGCACAAATCTGATGTACATTGGGCTGAAATCACAAAGGGCAATTTAATACTCTGTTTGAGGACCTGAAGAATGAAATATCTCTGGTGGCACAGGCTTGGAAGAAGCAGGGCTTATATGTGCTTCATTATCTCCCATATTTGGTTATTATGGCTAATAGGGAATCCCTGGGGGGGAAACTGAAGCCTTCTGAGAGACTCCAAGGAATACACTTTGCCTGAACTGACATAATTTTCTTCCAGTCCATTTAACCCAACCAGCCACAAGTGGTAATGCAGCTCCTTAAACAGCAGTGTGGGAGTGGAATTTGATCACATTCTTCACATTGTAGGGCATTAAAATGTAGTGTTGGATTGGCACATCATCAAATAATGGTATATGCAAGCAAGCAATTTGATAGTCCTGCTGGTTCTGTTTAAAAAACCGTTTGAAGGAATAGAGTAATACACGTCTTTTGATGGAATTGCATCATATGATAACCTACTTTCAACTGATGATTTGCATTTGATTTACAGCCGTCAGCATGTGAGCAGTGCACCTGTCACAGCGACGGCATCGCCTGCTGTCAGGTAGCAGACTGTGCCCCTCCACCATGTGTTAATCCAGTCTATCAGACAGGGAAATGCTGCCCTCAGTGCAAGGATGGTAAGTTTTTCAGAACTGAAAAAGAAAACTGCCATATTTGTAAGGCTTATTACACTTCTGTGTACTGTAATTGCCCAAGTTTTGACTCATGCAGTATGACATTCTCATAGCCTCAACACATACATAGAGGATACAATTGTGTTTGGTCTCCGGTAATGATTCTGAATGCAATATTTTTATATAATTCATTCAATAACAGATGGGACGGTTCAGATGCCGGGCCATGTGCTAGGCCAGTTTCCGCAGCTGAAATGAGATAAGGCTTCTAATGAGTTGAGCTTCAGCCGTATTGTTTTCTCTGTATACTGTGAAGTATGAAGGTAATTACAGTGTTTACCGAGAGCAAATATAAGGCAGGCATGTAGGCAGCCAAAACAACACACATAAATCAAAGCATGTACTTCACCAATGTGATAAATGGTCAGCTCCTCAAATGATGTTGCATTTTTATTGATAAAAATTGCCTCTGTGGGGGAAAATGTTAAATTAAGTTTTCTGTTAATCTAAAGTAACTTCCAAATTAAAGTAAAACCTTATCTTAAAAGTTAAACACTCTAAAAAAGCAATGTGCCAGTATCTACACTCCAAGGCTTCCTAATTAGTGGCGCTTGCTGAGGTTTTTCAAAAACTCCTGACCTTAAGTATTTAAATTCTGCGCATAACTTGTCCAGCACAGTTTGTGCTACTGACATGAATGACACCGCAAGTTGTGCAGATTTTTGAGGAGAGTGTTCTATTACTTTTCTAAGCATCCTGAATTTAGAGTTTGGCAATTCGGATGATAAAACAAAAGAGAAAAGATCCAGAATTATATAGACTTGAGAGGCTTTTCTTACTTGGACTAGTAAGCAACCACTTAGCAACACCCAGAACACCATTGCCGCACAGTAAGAAAAAGCTTAAAACCACCTAAGCAATTGCATAGCAACACTGTAGTACAGTGGTTCTTGAAACATATCACAAAAATAATTATAGTTAAATAATATCATTAGACCCGCTGTCTCTCTATATTAAGATGGGATAGGAAAAAATATTTTAACTGAAAAAATTACACACTTCACCTTTAACTACAGACAATGGGCCTCGTTAATCATCTCTCTCTCTTTGTGGCTCCAGGGCCCAACTGTTACGTGAATGCCTCTAGGACCCAAGTGATCCCTGGAGGAGAGCCAGTGTGGGTTGACTCCTGTACCAAATGTCGATGTCATGACGTTCAGGATGCAGGTTATTGGGAAGGCAACCACTTAGCAACGTGTTCCCATGTGCGCAACTGCCAGCCTGACGAGGGGCTAAACTGAGGAAAGAGGTCAAAAATAGGGTCATCTGACATCCTTATTTATACAATGGATGACAAAATTCAGCAGATATTTAAACCACACTTGTGGAAGAAAGTGTGGAGGCTATTTTAATCATATAAAGCCTACAAACTTTATATGATTAAAAAACAGGTCTATTATTATTCTTATGATAACTAAGCATTTAACATCCATTCGTTAAAGTAAAATGAGTTGGTAAAAATTGGTTTGACTTACTAAGGGATATTCCCTAATGAAATGGATAATAGAGCTTAGTTTTGAGACACCTTTTTGGGCATGGTTATAAATAGCACAGTGAGCATATTAGCATCTACAGTACAATTGTGTTTAGATAAATGTTGACACTGGGCTCTGTGTAGTGCACACTTGCACCTGCAGATAGGGATGGGTGTATCGATCCTGAAATATCGATACTGATGCGAGTATCGAAAGTATTGATACTCAAATAAAAAATAATGATACTAAGGTGTTTTATTTACCAGTGATTTTGTTTATTTAACAAAGACATGAATGCATACAATATGCATTGAATTGGACGAATACCTAGTGTTAGTTAATAATTGTGTAGGACAGAACTATTTTCCTGCTCATCTGAACACACGCAAATGTTGCAAGACAGAACCAATCAATCACAGGGAGCGTTCACTCACTTCTGACAGTGCATTCAAACAGGGCTGCATTTCAAAAGTATCATAAGAAACCATTGATGCTTTTGGGAATGGCAGCCCAGAACAATGAGGACAGAAAAAATATATATGTTTGAGTTATTTCACAGTAAACCAATTGAAATTGTAGCCTATATAGTTTGTGCAATTACATTTATTTAAATTGAATGTTAAAAGTTCATATTGATCATGTTCTATTCTGTAATGATAATATAAATTATACACTGTCAGAAAAAGGTTGCATTTTATGTGTGCAACAGCCTTTCACTGGCAGTCCCTTATGAAAATTAACCATGGTTTTACTGTAGTTCAGTATAGTACTATATACAATATAGTATTTGTAGATCTCCGTGGTTACCACTACAGTAAACATATTTTAACCATGTGCAATTAAGGCGTATTGAATGTTAAAATGTGTTTCAAATATAAAGTTAAGTGGGTATCATTCTCCATTTTACTCTTAGTAATTTAATAAATTTCATAATATAAAAGTTCAGTTTAGAAGTATCGTATCGGTATCGATATCGGCCTTTAAAAGTGTCGGTATCGTATTGAAAACAAAATAAGTGGTATTGCCCATCCCTACCTGCAGATGCAATGATCATCCACTAATATACATTTTTTTATTGGTGTTTTTATATGATTTGAAGTAGCACATATATATGTTTATATTATTTTCTGCTTCAAAAGCCTGAAAACCAAAGTATGTTGAGACTGCAAGACTTACATTACTGCCATGCAGGCATGGAAACAGCTAATGTAGCCTGAACTACAAACAAACAAACCTATCATAAATGAATCACGTATAAATAAAGCAGGCTTATTTTTGTTTCATTTCTGTTCTGACACCTCATTTTAAAAGCTGTGGTAATAATGCTACTTTTTTTTCGAGGACTGTATTTGCGGCAATGACAGAATGTACACAAATATAAATAAACCACAAGTGATCTGTGTCTTGTCTTATTATCCCATTTATGAAGTTAAGAGGATGTTTGTGTTGCTATTTCTACTAGTTTATTGCAACATCTGTCACATAAAAAATTACTTTTTGAGAGGCAGATTATTGAGTTTTCTGCACAAGGCTGACAGTTTAGAAATATGTTCCCTTTCCAATAAACTGCCATGTCCCTGAGCAGTGATTTGGACTGGTGCTGGTAAAAGGTGGGTGTTGAAATAATCAGGTGTAAATATGAGATTTATTACTTTGTTCTGATCCATTTTGCCTCTGATCCACTTCTTATAGATTCCATATTTTGTATTTTACACACACACACAAATAAACAACACTACCATATGGCGTTCTACATTTGTATAAACCCAGAAAAAGAATATAAACACTATCCCATCATCTGATTCTTGTAGCATCAGATTTATTGATTGTATACAAAAAGTATGTTTGATATGACATAATGCATTCTATATAAGATATAGTATTTTGACATTCAATGTACAAAAAAACCTTAATAGACACAGTAAGTCTTTAAAAAATGCGCCCCAGACTTGAAGACCTGAGGCCGTCAGTAGTTTCTTACGCAAGTCGTTGTGTAGGTGTGGAATACTTGCCCACTTCTGTCCCTCTCTCACATTGACAAGCATAGAGCGCAGATGGAGTTCTTTCTGGAGAACAACTGAGGGCAAAAAGGGTGATGGAGGAGAGAGGGTGAGCTTTACATACACAAGTCTCTGTGTGTGTAAGTTTTCAGTATGGGAGTGTTTGCTGACCCAAAAGTGATATATAAGAACGGCATCAAAATGAAAAGCGTATTCATTGTGGCACCGGTTGATTTCACAAACTATAAAGCGAGAGTTGCTGAAGAATAGCATCCTGACCTCAAGGATTGCATTTGTGCTTTGCAAGGTTGGTAATGAGAGCTGTGCGAGCTTTACTTGATTGCATTGTTAGCACAAGAAATATGAGTAACTTTGGAATGGAACAACCAGATGATTTAAACGTATAAACCGCAATGGAACATTTATAATATTATCGAATTCCACCCAAAACACTAAAGAATAATGCAACTCTATATCTACACCGTAGACTATAAGCAATTTATTTGCCACAGGGGCAAAATTAAGATTAAGATCAGAAGGAATTAAGATAGAATAACTGAGTGTATCACCAGACTAAATAAAAAGAATAAAAAATTGAAGATTTCATTGTCCTCACTAATAAGAACCATATCTACAGATTTCACACCATCCAAATACAGGGTCTTACTAGAAGCCAGTAAAGGTGCACTCAGTAATTATATATATATATATATATATATAAATGTGAATATTTAATATTTAAAACATTTTGGGTAGGTACAAGACGTTTCTTAAGCTCACCAAGACTGCATTTATTTGATCACAATTACAGTGAAAACAGTAATATTGTGAAATATTATTACAATTTAAAATAATTTTTTTCTATTTTAATAATGTTAAATGTTAAAATATTATTTATTCCTATGATGGCAAAGCTGAATTTTCGGCAGCCTTTACTCCAATCTTCAGTGTCACCTGATCCTTCAGAAATCATTCTAATATGCTTGATATTTTTGAGGAAATAGTGATTCATTGATAGATAGAACGTTCAAAAGTACAGCGTTTATTTGAAAGTTAAATAATAAAAAAAATGAGTTACTTTCACTTTTGATCAACTGAATGCATCCTTGCTGAATAAAAGTATCAATGTCAAAAGTATATTAAAAAAAACACTTTTGAACGTTATATAGATAACTGCCCTACTGAATCATTTCACTTGTGAAATAAATTAGTCATGGTAGCATAAATCTGCCATATCAATCAGTGCAACCAACAAAAATGACTGAGTACACCTTTAAATCGAGAGATATCAAAATACGTTTCAGAAGAATGACTACACATTATACATTATCATGCTGTATCAGGCCTGACAGATTACATGCAACAATGTGCGTGAGGCCTTCAATATGTTGGACTTTGTTCTGCTCACACCGTATAAACCATATGGACTGCATTTTTCATTTTGAAAAAATTAAGATAATGTAAATGACATGCGCTCTGCAACATTTTTTTTCTTCAATTTAATACACGCCTTGATGCATCAACTCGAGAAAGGAAATAATCTCATTTTACTCCAACAGAAACAGATTTCTATTTCATTTGCCAAGACATTTCAGGATGAGCATAATGTCTTTTTAATAAGGATATTGGCTTGAAATCTCATTCGTGTTGAAGGTTTAGGAATCACTGCATTCTACAACACTGTTCCTCAGCACTTAAAATGCAGGTCACAGCTAGAGCAAAAACTATTGAATATGATCAATGAATAGTTTTCAATATACTCAACTATGTGCATACAGTGGGCATCTTTCAAAAATAAAGGTAACTATGGATGTCAACTTTTAAGGCTATTAACACAGGAAAAATCAAGGAGCTTGAGGCAATATTGCATCAGTTAAGTATTAACCGTTATTTCGCTTGATGGCCAATGTAAAAATCAGCGTGGCAAAAGTGATGCACTTATAACTGACAGGTCATGGTACCCAGGAGACAGAGGTGATGAAATACTTAAAAAAAGGAAACAATGTTAGTGACATAGTGACTGCTTGGGTCAGCAGTTAAGACAACACAAATGCACACACAGAAATGAAATGGGTTGGTGAGGCTAAAATGAAAAGCATGAGGCGAAAGACAGATGTGTATTTTAAAAAGGACAGGGAGAGTGGCTGGGCTCTCATTAATGACTTCCTCTGTGCTGGGCTGAAAGAATCACTGACAAAGAACCGTCCACACACGGTGCAGAAAAGCCGATAAGAGAGAAAAAAGAGCTTGAACTCCCCTCACATTTACCCCTCATAAAACATCTGAAGGCATCAGCTTGGTGTTTTCAGGCAGTAAAATAAAAGGTGAAGAAGGAATAAGGAACGGTAAAACAACTTTAAGAGGCTTGCAAAGTATTGTAAAGAAAAGCAGTTCAATACAGTTCAGATCTTTTCGGAAGAGGTGAACACAGGGTCCAAAATTAAAGGGATAGTTCACCCAAAAATGAAAATTCTGTCATTAATTACTCACCCTCGTGTCGTTCTAAACCCGTAAGACCTTTGTTCATCTTCAGAACACAAATTAAGA